TTTCGTTATAATGGCACATTTTTTGTGTATGGGAAGCAACTTAACAAGCGTAACGTACCTCCATTCCACATGCAGTACGTCAATAAGATAAACCGAGGCAATCAGTGATTTTTGTTAAATATTTTATTAAAGTTATTTATATTGTAAGAAAGTTATAGCATTTACGATCGAGGACTATAAGCAATATATTTTGGGCTTGAGCATTTCCAGCACTTCTTAGAAAGCCGCACACATATACTGTCTATGCAGATCACAAATGTACAAAGTCATACTCTTGCATTCGTCCATACGTTGCTGCAGCTCGAATAGGAGTTTCTGCCGCAACGAGCGCACTCAACTAACATAGCCTCTTCTGGTTACCACTTGTTCTGGCCGATGCAGCATGGCTTGGCTGGGTCGTGCTTTCAAAATTCTGAAGATTGGATCGCTGCCCAATCAATGTCGTTCTTTCGACACGGTCTTGCCACGTTACCAGAAAGATGGCAAAAAGTTGTGGTAAATAATGGAAAAGCGAGCAAATGATCAAAATATATGCATGCATCTAATAACGACTGAAGAACGTTCCGAAGTCGTCCATACAACAACATATCACCCTCAAGGTAACTGTCAAAGGTATCTGTCAGGTATCAGCCAAAGATGGCATCGAACTTTGAAAAGCGGTTTTATTTGTCGCACTGAAAAAAAATCGATAGATGTTTTGTTTGGAAAGCAAAGCAGATTCATTATATGGCTTTGGTGAGTGTTTTCTTTTGTATCGTGTAAGTTTCCTGTTTCTCACTCTCGTCTACTTTCCATTCTTCAGCGAGCCCGTAACGTAATGATTCCATACGCATTTCGAAGCTTAGGAATGCAATTTCATTAACAAATGCATTTTCGTTCTAATGGAATGAAATGCTTAAATGTAATTGCTTTAGATTCTTTCATATTGTAGTTTTCATTTTCTTAACGCTGTATGAAATAAAATTAAATTAAAATTCGGAGTTAACAAGTTATGTATTTTGCAGAGCAAGCAAACGCTTAAGTGCAAATTACATTGTGGGCAGTTGGAGCGGTAGGGCCCACAATGAGTCTATGATGCAGCTAATTAAAGTTTTCTCTGGGATTTTCAACACGTCGTTGAACGGAACTAGTGAAGTTGACGCATTTCTTCATAGTAAAGTTTCAAGCGTACTTTCTTGTTAGAGTGGTTGTACTTGCGTGCAAACTAGACAGTAATTCAACATCAGCAAAATTAGTATCATAAATCATAGCAATAACAATTTATCAACCGCAATAGCCCAAACTGCAAGGATAGTCCATTAAAAAAAATTGACAACATCAACATATTTAAGAGTAGAGTCATACGTGAAAGCATAGAGAAACATTAAAAACCGCCGTAACATTAATGGTAATAAGCGCTTATTGGTTTCTTTCAAGACGAGATCTGAGTCTGACCACTAATTAACGTGTTGGTTATGTGAGCGCTTTGGGCAACTGCGCAGAGCGCAAGATTGACCAGCCGAGTAGTTGATGCTGTCGTCGATGCCTGAAAAATGTTGGTTTTTCTTCAAGTATCCAAAAAATATGTAACTTGCAGTGTGGCGTGTGAACCGGTCCCGTCGAGATTCATATTTCCACCTCGCCATGTGATCAATTTCCGTTCGAAAGTATTTCGTTATGCCGCCCATTCACGTATTATCAATAGACCTAGTCAATTTGTCTTTGTCTAATCTAGCCGGGGGAGATAACGTTCAAGATGTACCGAACCATTTGGCACAACTCAAGGAAAAACTGCGGGCAGGAAAGATCGGTCTCCCTATAGGTAGCTATGCTGTGACGTTAAAAAGCACTATAAAAACAATTGCAACTAGTTCTAGTAGATCTGGTGCCTCTTCCGAGGGATGACTCTCGGTAAGCTGGTACTTCTAAAGGTATTCTTTGGAAAAACGCTAACCATGTAAAGATGACGTTATCGAATGGTGCTAAATTTTGTGAGTTATCATTTTCGATCAATTTGGGTGGGTCGCCTGCCGTTAATGGTAATACTGTCGTATCGCCTAGTGGATCCAATAGCTCAGCTATACCGTCTATTGACGAATTAGTGGTGATTCCTGCGCGCAACGCCGGATGTCAATTTAATTAGCGCAAGTAACTCAAGAAATTGAATATTGTCTTGTCATTTTGTGTCAGAAGCGTTCGGGCTCTCAATATGGATTTGTGTATAACGTATAGTATCCACTAAAATGCTGAAGCCATGTATTGTTGTTGCTGAAGGAAGAGGGAGGCCTTACAATTGCCGTTAAGTTTATAGCAGCGTCTCTGGTATTATTTGCCATTGTTACCGATGCTGAATTACTATGCGTTCACATACACCTTACGGTGTTTGCAACTTGTTCAAAAATTTCTCCCATATCTGACGTTTGGGTTTATATGGCGCATCTGCATGTTATTCAGCAGTTCGTTAGTCGCCGAGATATCTAGTGATGAAATATTTGTTCTAGATGGTTTCGATTTCATTTACAGCCCTTCGTGTTTTGACGATGAACTTTGACGGGATACTTTGTTTTATTTCCTTACCCGCATATATTTAATGCGTTTTTCGATTAGATCCTCAGTCTGTGTCTTTTGCAGTAAAATAGGGCGGTCAAGATTAACAATAGATTACTCGATTTGACATTCTCCAACGATGCTGTCCTTATGTGCCTATTGCTTGTTCCCGATAAAGTATCGCAAAATTGTCCGATTTGCTTCAACAGCGATAGGACATAAGAAGAGTAAGTTGTTTAAAAAGTACCTCTTTACTGGATTACTTGCCTTATTCTTGGGCAAGACGTGAATTTAATTCTTTAAAGACTAAATGTTATTTTAGTATATCTAGCTAGTTGAAGAGCCAAGTACTTAATGATCCTAAGAAATTTCATCATTTCGTTAACTCAAAACTTAAAAAAAAAAAAAAAAAGGAATACACTACGGTAAGTTTAAAGTCTTCAATCCGTGTGAAATAATCTGAGCTAAACTTGTTTGCTGAGTTTGCTGAGTTTGCTTTCGATGTTGATCATGCGAACAGTTATTTGTACCTGATTCACGTTTTTCCATTTATTATATTTTCGAAGGAGTAAGTTCTTGCTTCTCTCCTTAAAATTATTTTCTTTTTCACTCCTAAACTGGACGGAATACCATCTTCGATTTTTCGCTCACGTGCTGAGTTCATTCGCATTCCGTTAATATATATTTTCAATAATTGTATTTGTATAAAAAACGATTGCAAAGAGGACATCGAATTAGAGGAATTGCAAAACTAAGCATTATGACTAAGTTGTTGGAATCGTCAATGGTTAAGAGGCTGTTTCCGGTGATCCAATTTGTTTTACCTTGTTGCCAGTATGGCTTCTCCAGTGAACGATCAACTTGCACTAATTTATTGAAATTGACGTATTGTGACGCAATTTCTGAACGCACACAAACTGATTTGATCGACACTCACTTTTTTTAAACTCGAATTTATTGGTTTCTCAGGAGACACAGGTTTTTAGTGTAAATCTTATCTAGCTGATCGAAGTGAAAAATATTGTGTAAATCAGCTTTTTCTTGGGATATATCCGCATCGTTTAGCGTTCCCAAATTAGTCGCTGAGGTCAACTGTTGTTTGTCTTATTTGCTAACAATTTTCCTATTTGTGTTTGTAATAAAAAGAGTTATGATGTCTGTCGTTGCTGTTAAAATATTTTATTTTTTAATTGCTATTTCAGAAGTGCTCGACATATTTCATGCTGCTAAACTTGCAAAAATCTAAAAAGCTGTTCTTTTTTTGGCGGACTGATATGTTACCAACTAATTTTTATAAGAATACTTGTAACGACTTAGGGGTTACCTTCGACTCCCAACCACCTTTAATGTACACGAAGAGATGGTGTAAGCAATTTTATTATCCTTATGTAACTGTACGCATATATATGGCTGACGTTAGTTTACGCCTCGATTACATGGGCGTCGAGCTATCGGTACCATGTTGACGCACTAGAACGGTGAAGAATAGGAATCTGATCGTATCCTTCGTTCATATGATCACAGATTAAAACTAAGCAATCTCTGCATGTTAGGAAAGAGAGGTGAAGGCCTAGGTGCTGACAGGTATACTCGGCGCTATTTGGCAATTAGTTTATCGCGGTGCCGCACTGACTACGATTTTCATAATATTTTTCGAACCGTTTGTTAGACGTACAGTGATAATTATTATTTGTTTGACGTGGCCACGGATTTGTACGATACTCTTAAACCTTGCACGCTACCTGGACTGATTGCCAATTTTTTGTTTTTTTTTTGCAATATATTTTTTTAATATATTGACTTTTAAACTTGCATAGTATCAGCGCTATTGCTATTGTTATCTTTTTCGCCTTAGTTCATATATGCAGCGAACATTTTAAATAAATAAATAAATAAATAAATAAAACTTCTTTAGCCCTGAGTTCTAGAGTTCCACACAAAGTAACCTAATGATTGCAAATAACCGCGCAACATACCAAACACTCACATACTCAAAAGGGATTAAATCTCTCTGCAAGTAAAGAATGTCGCGATTCTCAATTCCAATTGAAGGTCGATTCGAATAAGATTGCAATGAGTAAAAATTTGTTTGCGGTTATGTATATCGGTTATTTAACGACATTCAATTATAACTTATGTGTGCACAAGCATAACGTGTATTTAATTTGTAAGCAATCATGTGTTTTCAATTCTTACTGTGTTGTTTGTTAGACTTATATCCGTTAGCGTTAAATCACTTGTTGTTAATTCAATAATAATTGATTGATATAATGGAATAGTATAATAGTTTTTAAAAAACAGGTAGCGCTACTTATCGCCAGTGTGTCAGTGTGCATAAAAGGTAAATCATGGATCGTAATTTACATGTAATAATGGAGAGAGCAGATGCCTTTTACACGCACTTATGGTTAACGCAGGCAAATTAAGACAGAAATGAGGTAATGAGTGTCCTAGATGGGTATTCGTGCACTTACCATACTTGTACACCAACTTGGCCCTGTTTGAGACGCTTTATATCAGTTTGTGCCCAGGCCGGTCGTATCCACATTGACTTATGATTTATGTCATTGCTTACGTGTACCAATTCTAAACTGCTGTGCGCATATTTTCGCACATTCCATGCAAAGTTATTATGACCGTCAACTAATGGTACATCACGCAATATACGTTTCACAATTTTCAGTCTTTGTGTATGTGAATTACGGCTAGGTGACATGAAAAAGTGCTGATACAATAGAGTGGCTGCTATGGCTAACAGACACAATGCCGCAATCAGTGTGAGCCCAATAACAAAGGAACCGCGACTCACTATTTTGTGGCGTTCCTCCATTGAGACAGCATTCTGGTGTAATGCTTTCGATTTACGTTTTCTGCCATCCAATTGCGTTTCAGAATCATTGTGCACAAGCGACGGTGACTTGGTATCCGCAAAGTTGACTTTTGATTTTTGTATGCTCGCTATTTCTCCCCCTGAATCGCTATTTGAGGTGGAGTTTTGCCGTGAAAGCGTACGACGTATGTTTGAGTGTTCAGTAACATCGGGTAAGCCGCCAAAGCCGGCTGTCTGCAAGTAAAGGTTAACAAAACAAAATGAAATTCATTTGCAACGTTTTAAAGCAATAAATTTCAATCATCTACGACCTCCGACTCTTTGCAACTCTTTTGTAAATCAAACTTTTTCAAGTAAGCAAAAAAAAAACAAGTCAATGCATATATGCATAGATGCACACGTTGCTTTACAAGGAAAAGTGTTAATTAAATTTCTTAATATGCGTTATTTTTATTTTGTCTATTAATTCGTAAGTGTTGTAGTTAAATTTCCTGCTCATCCTCCTCTCGTTTTTAACTTATACTCTTGGTTTCATAATAACAACCCAGTAATGGAACTCATTACCGCAAACTATGTCGTTTATTTATCTTAATCACTGTTCTGCTCTTCTGCTTGTGCTATGTTTTTGCGCGTTCTAATAAAAGCAAAAACACAACGCGCAAATTCTATTCTTACTATGGTAAATACAAATGTTACCGTTTATACAATGCGACAGATAGCTATATATATGTACGCGTGCACATTCTTGCACATATCACGCCATCTAAAGAGTTTTAGTTTCGTTTTTATTTTCATACTTTTGCGCCTTCCTGTTACTTCTCTCACCCTGTTTGTGACACTTCGGTTAGGCGATAACCATGTAGCTGAAAGTTAGCTTTCGCAGCGAAAGTTCTCTCTCGCAAATTCGAGGCAAATGTGTATATAAATATAGCGGAAAACTTTGAGTTTTATTGGCGTTCATTTATATATTTATTTATTTACGAAAGTCAAAAATTACACACTACTTATATGTAAAGGAATACTTTTCATGAGAATCCTCTCATATATGTGATGGTACCTTAAAAATACACCTATGTGATATAAACTTTGTACATAGCGAATCGAAATCTACAACTAAAAATCTCTGATTAAAATTAAATGACGTAGCTTGGCTTGTGAAATATGTTATGTATTAGTGTTTAAAAGCAATTGACATATAAGAATGTGGACAGAGACCTCACTTCTTTTTTTTCTTTTCGTGCAGCGGGTCCACACCAGTTAGTTTATGCCACCTTTTTAGTGAAGAAAGAAAGAACTCTTTAGGCATCAATTTACCATCAGCTTCAATAATTCATTTTAACATAATTGGAAATTTTTGTTGTAGTTTAGAACACTGTCGCTCTATACTAGTCAAGTATATAATATAATTGATTTGGAGGCAACCTTACTTGACAGAATAATATTTGTTGTTTACACTTTCAACTTATTAACGGACATAGCGCCCTGTGGCAAGATTACATATGTTATATAATTTGATTTGAACACGACTGCGGAACATTTACTTTTTGTCGATTATAATACCCAAGTGCTTAATAGAGAAAGTAATTTCACGGCCTCGAATCGGATGAAAGGGAAAACCAAGTATTTCTTTTTCATGCAGAAAACTGACTCATCGTAATTTGCAACGTGTTAACTATTTTACAGCCAAGTTCACGCGGTGAGTATATACCGATATCGTTGACGAACAAAGCAATATGACAATAATTTAATTCTTAAATGTCAACACAGAAAATCGAATAAAAAATTGGACACGGATCGGATTCTTGTGGAATATTTTCAATAATAGATAATAAATCAGTAAATCCATCTGAAAGAGATACACAAAAACATCTTTAAGGTAACAAGCTGCAGGTTAATTTAATATTTCTCCCAAAAATTATTTCTATTAATTTGCCTTTAATAACTCTTCCAAAAACCTTGCTTAGAGACTAATAGGCCGAAAACTATTAATGTCGTCTGGGGGCTTGCCAAGCTTATTTCCAAATGTTTAGAAAATCGCTCCATGAATTAATTATGCAAATAAAATATCAAATCTCTTCCTTACGAATATATTTTAAAGTCACATTTTTAATGTTATCCGTACCTGAAGACTTTGCTAAACACTTATCGGGTTCAACGCTTATGTAATTCTCTTTCGAGACATGAACTGAAATTGTGTTGTCTTGATCCCTCAGACTTCAACATATGTTTTTGAGCTGGAGAGCTTTAGTTAAAAGCGATTTTTTGCTTCTCTAAAAATCTTTCTGGAAAAACTTGTGTTTCACTCCACACAGAGCAACTATACTGTCTCGATATTTAAATGACGGAATGACATTGCGATTTTTATAGTAGTCAAAGAAATCTGTTACATAGTCGACTTGTTGTCGATAAAAGTTCCATTGCCTTCTCTGAGAATTTCCGATTCAAATTAAATTGAGTACGTAGTTTGGAAATCCAAGAAAATTAATCTTAGCAAATTTTTTTGGCACTGAACGTTGAGCACCGTCTGTTGTACTCGCAATAAATACAATTAATATAGTTGTCTGCATCCGCCGTTGGGAACGTAGAGTGAATGTGCAAGTGTTGGACACCATTAAAAGTGAAACCCCATTGTTGCTTGGGAACTCAAAGAAAATTTGACTGATAAATGATCGGAATGGAACTCACTTAAAGCTTGGAAAACGGGAATAAGTGTCTGTCTTCGAGCAGATGGAATGTAGGTCGAATCGTTAGTATATAATATAGTTAACGAAACGAATGTCATGATTCCATTCAAAATCTTAACGTAGACTTTGCTCCCGTGCACCACCGATTCCCATATTTGGCATTTAAATCGCCGGTCTCAACAAAATCACCATTTTGGTTCATCAGTTTACCTGAGTCCCTTTCAAGTTTGCTGTGAAGCTCACCTGAACGAAATCCACCACCAGGAAAATAGACACTATGAACCGCGTAGACTTTCCATTAAACATTGCCAATATTCCGATCGATGTTTACAATTAAGTCAACTTATTTGTTTTTTTAAATGTAAAAAAAAAGTGAGGGAAGAGATAGCAAAGTATTGGCTGTAACCTAGTGGTTGAATGGCCACTAGAGCTACGATAGAGCTATAGTTACAATCTACAGCACTTGAAATTTGAACTCACGAACACTGACTACCAATCGCGATTCTTACCTACTAGATTACTCAGGGTGGATATTTTAGTTGATGGGAATTCATAGAATTTTAACTTATTGTGAATTAAAATTGCAACTCCTTCCACCTAACTGATTCGTTTTCTCATGCCTTATACATGCCTTTATAGTTTGGATGACGCAATTTGTTGGAGCATTTTAACCAAGTTTTAGATCGTAAACATATATCGGCAGAAAGTAAACATATATGATTAAAAAAACGAAAAACCTAACAGATTTATTGCGGACCCTCCCACAATGCCCAGAAATGTATTTAAGCATTGCTCGACTATTTGACATGTGAATACGAACATTGTGTTTGAACAGTAAACTATTGTTGTTTATATGCGCAAATCTTAAGATTATTAACGACATCAAAAACAAATTGGATGATTTCATTTTCTGTTTAAAGATCAACTGCAGAGGTAAAGGTTTCTTTATACTGATCATTAACTATCTATAGAGATGTAGGTTTGTTTATATTGATCATTCAACGTAGTGTTAACACGAATCGAAAAAGGGCCACATAAGCCACATAAGAAATAATGTGAAAAATTGCGTTTTTCGTTTTTTATTTTCATCCAACGTCCGCTTCATAGTTTCCAACCTAATATAATTTCTTCGTACATATTACAAGCGTACTTGTATTTTAATTAATTTATTTAGTTTTTAAATTCAATAAAATCTTTACACTTCACACGAATCAGATCTTTTGTATACAAAGTAAATTAAAGGGCGTTTTTTTTTTTCGGGGGGGATCACAATTTGATAGTGCTAATGCTTCCATGAATGAATATATGTAACAGCAGCTGGGAATCAAGCATAAAATGAAATGAATTTTCTCTTAAATAAAATTAATTAAATAGTTATATACATAGACTTGTTAATTAAACTTTCAGAATAACACAAAAACTAGCAAAATAAACATTGAACGAATTGACGGTTTTTGAATTAAATAAAAATCGTACGCGCACACACAGACCACAATTTACACGCAACCAAAATTTGTTCTTTTTTTTTTTTTCCTTACACACACACATGCATTCAAATATGCATGTACTTGCATGCGTTCTTCAAGCCCATATTGCTAGCAGTAGCTGGGGTGCATTAAGCTCGTATGAATGGATATTTATTAAAGAAGTTTTTCATATTTAAATAATGTACGGTGTATTATTTTCGGATTTACCACCACTGACTGTCCCTCGTTGGCGTTTCACAATCGATAACACTGATCAAAAACAGAGCAGAAATTTCGCTAATAACATTTGCGCAACAAAATTCAAAATCATGTCAGAACCTTATATAAATGGTTGGGAGTTGCCAAACTCCACGCGAGATTTAGTTTGATAGATTCGGATGCGATGGTAAACAAAAAGTGGGGAGAAAACGTAATACAGCGATGGCAATCCAAAATTCATAACGAATTGAAAAGCGTGGCGGAGGGTCTATCCTGGCTTCGGGGTGCATATCTATGAATGCCTATGCCAATCCGTCGCACTGAAAATATTTCGCGCCGTTTCGTCATCAATACTAATTGGATTATACGTGTCTAGGTCTTTTGCAATACCAACAGCACTAGGTTTGTGATCACTTGCTGCAATTCTGATAATGTTTCGTTCCTTATACTCTGTAAGGTTGTTTGGTTCGTCTGATCGGTGCTTATTTTCCGCGGTATTTGTCTTATTGTAATTGTTTGTAATAGTTTGACCAACTAGCGCGACTAATTCCAATTGTTTTTACTGCTTTCCGGTTTCGACCAACGATTTTTCCTCATATCTCAACTTTATAACCATTTTTCCAATCTCTAATTGATAAACTATTATTTAAATGTACGTCAGTAAGTATAAAAACTATTTACCGTTACATAGGGATGTTCTTTTTCGAATCTTCTAATGATGTTCAAAATACACTTTGCTCCTTTTTTTTTTAATGGGATTGAAGTATACATTTTTGTTTACGTCAAAAAAAAAAAAATTGAAGTATTATTTAACATAATTTTTCATTAATTTCCTTGAACGAATGACTAAATTTTGCTGAACTTT